GTTAAGTGAGAATGACGGTGGCGGGTGTCCTTGGCTTAATTCTGACTTCAGAAGGACTGCTGCTAGTTTTTCATTATGTCTTGATTTGAGAGATTTTTTTCCCCTTATTATCTCTTCCTAAGGATTAAATGTTTCTGTTTTGAGCCTGTTTTTTCCCTGCTACTAGATTTTTTTTTCACCACATCTTAATTACATAAACAGTTTGAATTGAAAAGCATTTCCCACAGTCTTTTCATTGAATACCTAAACACGCAGTGCTCTGAATAGTAAGACAGAGTAGGTCGGTTTGAGTCCTTTCTCCTGGGCCTGTGACCGCTGTGATGCTTCAGCACCATGAGTGTGTTTTGTTTGATGATGTGGTGGGTGGGAGACGGTTCGCTGGAACGTAGGCCTGAGAATGGGGAGCTTGCGTTATGTAAAAATGTAATGTGCATGTAGCATAGTTTAGTCAGTGATCCCAGGCTGGCTGGTCATCAGAACCCTGGGGGGGGGGACAGGGGATGTTTAAAATGCAGATGCTCAGGCTCCTACTCTGTGATTCTGGGGCAGGCCCTGGGAAGCTGTATTTTTAGAAGTTTCCCAGGTGATCTGATCAGCCAAGCTTGGTACATTCTTCCTAGATGCCTACCCAGATGATCTTAAACTTGCCTGCCAGGTAGCACAGGCCGTGCCACCATGAGAAACTCGATCTGAAGTCACGTTTCTAACAGGTGGACATTTTGAGGAACATTTTGAGGACCAGGGTGGTTTCCCCTCCTCTCCCTCTCAGCATCCTCGTACATGCCTGCTACGTAGTTTCTAGCTATTGAACTGGCTGGAAATGTTTTTTGTTTGCATAAATGGTGTTCTGGACACTTTTCATTTTTAAGAGTTGTGTTTTCTTGATTTTTGGGGTTCTGTTCTTGGTGTAGCTGAGCTATTATAAGATCGTCTCTTGGGGGAAGGCCAATCCAGCATTGGGGGGGACCTCCTAGGAGAGACTTTCAGGAGGAGCACTGCCAGTTAGATTCACGGTGTCCTATTTAGTAGGTTCTCATTGAGGTTCCACTTGAGCCTGTATTAATGAAGGTTCTGTTAAAATTTTAAATGTGAATGTCTCTTGGAAAAAGTCTTGTTAGATATTCATTACCTTGTGATCATTCAAAGTACAAAAACTGCAAGTGTATTTGATGTTTTGTAAAAAATAGTGCAGGAAAACTTAAAGACGTTAAATTACCCTAACATGATCTGAGGAGTTTGTGCTCTTGCCAGTGTTTTTAATGGTTTCGGTTTTGCTAGAATGGGAGTGAAGTTCTCATAGTAAGTGGTTAATAGATACAAATACCAATATATCTTAGTGTTAGTTTGCCTCAGTCGTGAAAACCATTGTTTACTTAATGGAATTGCTGCAGGGGGTGCCCATGTGGCTCTGTGACAGAAGGCCTCCTGCGGTTCGGGAGAACGCGGTGACTTCAGCATCTGAACAACGCTCTCGCAGCCGTTGCTGAGTGGCATGTGGTGGTGGCACCGTCAGTATATAGTTGAATTTTAGAGCTTTGGGCCAAAAAGTGCTCCCGTCTCTGGCTGCTGTGGGCCATTGTTTGTGGCTTCAGGGCGTAGAACTTGGGGCTGAAGATGAGATAGCTGTTGAAGGGCATCCGGTGTCTTTAGTTTCACCACTGGTACACTTTGTCTCCACCACTTCACAGATCAGTGTGTCTGTGTGAGTGGGCACAGCAGACTGAACAGTATGACTGGGGGCACAGAACATACTGTTTTTCCCCCCAAAATTTAAATTAGGAAATATTTCAAACATACAGAAAAATAATAGTAAAAAACGCTAAAACATACAGACAGCACTATTGTAGTGCTCATTCTGTCTGTTCGTGTATTTACTGTATTAACTCACCCAGCCTAGAAAGTAAGTTGTATTATGACCATCTTTTTACAGACAAACAGATACAGCGAGGTAATGTCACCTGCCCAGAGTTACACATTTGGCAAATAACAGAGCTTAGATTTGAACTCAGGCAGTCTGGAGCTAGAGTGCATGGTCTCAACCAGTACAATACACTATGGCCTTCCAGAAATACAGGAAGTAATATGATAGACATGAGGGGTACTTAGCACCTGATTTTAATAAATGTTAACATTTTATTTGACAGTTGACCCTTTGACAACACTGGGGTTAGGGACACCAACCCCCTCCCCACGGTCAAAAATTCACATATAACTTTTGATTCCCCCCTGAACTAAACTACTGATAGCCTACTGTTGACTAGAAGCCTTACTGGTAACATAAACGGTTGATTAACACATACTTTGTATGTGTTTTATGTCCTCTACTCTTAAAGTAAGCTCAGAAAGGAAAATGTTGTTAAGAACATGACAAGGAAGAGAAAACACACTTGCGCAGTCCTGTCGTTTGTTTCTGGATGCCGTAGGTTTACATCACCTGTTTACAGGATGACCCACCTGTCAGTACCTCATCAATATTCTCTTATGCAAAACACGGTAGCTGTTACATGTATTACTGACAGTAGACATCAAAAGTGAAAAGATTACGTGAGAAAGAAATTCCTGCTTATTCACAGCCCAATTCGTGCATTGATAATGAGGAAGCAGAGATATGACGGAAGTCTGGTGTGATCGGTACGATGGCTTCTTGGTAGTCTCGCCCGCACACTAATGAGTGAATCATTATACAGTTTCATTGGCATATAGTAGTCCAGTCATGTTCACAGAACAGTATTGGAGACGTTACTATGTTTTAAACACCGCCACTCACCTGTGATGGTAGACTGATCTGCCCTTCCTCCAGTTACTGGAGGAGGGGGGCACACTGTGCAGTAATGTAACTCTTCGAAAGGCAAATTATAAAACAATAAGAAGACCAAGAGGCTTAATTTTATATTAAAAAATCACTCACCTTATGCTTGTGTGAGGATAGGTTATCCATTTCAATACAAGCCTTGCACACGATCTGCTACACACCTATTTGTCTGTTTATTGAAAAAAATCTGCACGTAAGTGGACCAGCACAGTTCAAACCTGTGTTGTTTGAGGGTGTCAACTGTGGGTTTCTTTGTTTCTTTTTTTTAGAGTAATCCTGTTACACAAAAACAAATGTAAATGAGAGATAGCATTAGACTATGTCTTTGGCCTTTTCTGGTCCTGTCAAGTTGTTTTTCTGACTGTCGGCATCCCCGTTTCCAGCACTGGCTCCTCCCCCAGCAGCTCGGCAGCGATTGCCTTTTCTACACGGGGAGGAACTTACTCAGCAGGTGTTCATGGGGTGTCTGCCCCAGGCCAGACCATGCCGGGGTTGGAGACACAGTCAAGAAAAAGCACCCAGTTCAGATCATCCTGCAACTCATAACCTAACCATGGGGGAAGGTGGATTTACTTAAGTACAAGGAGCATAATCTTGGGGGTATGTGGAAGGGCCCCATCATCGCGCCCCATGGTGACGTGGCCTGTTAAGAACATGGACTTGGGTGTGATGCTTTTAGTGACTTCTGGCCTACTTGTTGGCTTCTCTGGGCTTCTCTAGCCTTGGGTCAGCAGTTCAGTTTATGTTTGTTGTTTGGAATATACTTCCAGAAAAATGGTTCAGTTGGGATGATCTGTAAGTTTTAAAGTTTGGCGTATGTTGCCTTCCTTCTGGAAAACCCCTGGGCTCTGGGTTTGGGCCCTCCCTGTGGGTCTGCCAAGCTCTGGAGTAGGGGACTTGGATTCACTTGGTTTGTGTGCTCTGGTAGAACTTGGGAGGGCCCTCGGATGGGTCTTGCCTTTCAGAAACTCCTTGTAGGGCCTGAAGGGTCTCGGGGCCCGGCCTTGCCCGAGCTCTTGCGACGCCGAGTCCTTAAATCCTTGGAGACTGAGCAGTAATGCACGATGTAAGTGGAGCTGACTTGCTTTTCTTTTTTTTGCCTCCCTAAACCTTACTTATTTACTATGTGTTCAAAAATAGTAAAATCAGCATATGGTAAAATACATTTAAAAATCATAACGTTAATTTATTAGAATTTGGAATATATTAATCACATTGAAAAAATTTAGTATCAAGCATCTTGAAATTACGTGTAAAATGGAATGAATTAATAACGTCCCTCTTAGCACTGCCAGGCTGTGCTGTTCCTTGTGAGCAGCAGTGCAGAATGCTGGCTGTTCGTCCAGCCCGGCGGCTCGCCCCAGTGGGCCTGCAGGGGGAGCGGGGCTCAGAGTCCTTCCAGATTTGCGTTTCCGGCAGATGGTTGAGTGGTGGTCCCCCCCTCCCCCGCCCCCATTTTTTTTTTTCATTTAGGAGATTAGCAAATGCTTTTGGAACAGATAGTAGTATTTTGGCATTCATTTTAGCTAAGACTTTTGGAATCCATCGTGCAGAGTATCTTGACAGAAAATGGGCTCGTTTTGAAATGAGATGTTAAGAGATGCTTCTGTCAGATATTCTCGGGAGTGGCAGTAGCTTTTCTAGACATATGCTATGACATTTTAAGAAAATTATATAATAATTTCCTAACCCCCCTAAAAAGTTCATGAAGTTTGGGAAGTAAGTACACTTCTCTGAGAGCCAGCTCTGAAATTAGAGCCTGCATATTTAGATTTTGGTTCTTTCTCTGTTCGTTAGCTGTTTGGCTTTGGGCAGCTTAGTTAACTTCTCAGTGCCTCAGTTTTCTCATTTGCAAAACATAGATAATACTTACTTTCTTTACAGGGTTTCTGTAAAAATTAAGAGTATAAAAACACTTAAAATGATTAGGGATACACAAATGCAATTCATGTGTTAATATATGTGCAAGAACTTTTCCAGTAGAAACAAGCGTAATATTTTACGTTTTTGTAACTGCTTGCTTACCTGAAACTAGTGTTTGATTCTCAGTCATCACAAGGTCTTGTTTTTTTTTAATTTCAAGGGAATATTTTGAGACTTGATATTTTAGGACTTGGAGAGCTTATAATAAAAGACATTAATGGAATATAGAGGAGAATATTATTGTCTAAACATGTGTTGATGACTTTGTGCTTTTAGGTATACCAAGCTTGGCTACGCAGGCAACACTGAGCCACAGTTCATTATTCCTTCATGTAAGTAAAGCTCCACCCTCGCTTTATAAAGGGTTGTGTTTCTCAAAATTGTTATAAGCATTCTAATTTTGTTTTTCAAGGCATGTTAATTTACTTGCCATCTTCTTTTAGAGGATTGTTCTGGTTACTGGGGAGTTATTTGACATCTGGTCCCCGAGTATTTCTGTCGGCTGTGGCTGTCACCCAGAAAAACCCCCACTTTCTAGTCCTTTGGTTCTCTTCTGATACAGTCCTTTGTCACAGTCACTGGAGTTTCAGCTTGGGTGGTTGGCAGGGGCATTCATGCAGTCGTAAATGTCTGAGCTGCTTGGAAGATGTAAATCTGGTTCCTGAAGGTTAATTTGTAATTTTAAGCGAGCACAGTTTTATTAGCTTAGCACCTTGGTGGACTGAATGTCTGTTGTACTCATTGTATTGTATTCATTCTATCAAAAGACTTTTTTTTTGAAATGAGAGACCTGATGACTGTTTTATTGCCTTCAAAAATGTTCTGTTTTTGTTTAAATTTTAGTCAGTAGAGCATGATAAAGGAAGAAATGTCCTGACATTTTGGGAAGAGTGCGTCCTGCCCACTCTTTATTCACAGGAGACCCCAAGGTCAGGTCGGTTGTCCACAGCGTAGAATTCTTCTCTGAAACTATTTAAATTCTGGGTTATTATTTGGAGACAGTTTACCAGAGAGTAAGGTCTATCAGTCAAGAGTGAAGTGAAATTCTGCCTCCTAAAATGTAGCACTTGTAAGATTAGTTGTGCTTAGAAACTGTAAGCTGTCTCGGGGTCGGGGCGGTTGGATAACAGGCTCTCGTGACCAGTGTGGAATGTGTGCGCTGGGGGTGGGTGGGGGGAGCTTAGCTATTAGTTAGTATTTATTCGAGGGGGAGACCAAAGGTGGGTGTGGGCATTTGGATCACCGGAAGCTGTACTCCAGCTTCCTTGAGGACATCTGATTGGCCTCGTTCCAGTGCCTTGCTTGCTGGATAGCTGGTCGTGGATTTGCTTTCCTAGATCTAACTGTTTTGTTACCGTGATGCAGAGCCCTTGCTAGTAGGCGTGGCTGGTCTTCTGCTTCCTCATTTTGAGTCCATGATTTGGCGTGTCAGTTCGCTAGGGCTGCCATGACGAAGCACGGTAGACTGGACATCGTCAACACGGAAGTTAACTTCAGCACAAGATCAAAGTGGCATCGGGACTGGTTTCTGGCGAGGCCTCTCTCCTGGGCTCACAGATGGTGCCTTCTTGCTGTGTCCTCACGTGGCCTTTCTTCCTGTGCGTGGCTGGGAGCGAGAGACCTCTGGTGTCTCTCCCTCGTCTTAGAAGGACACCAGTCCCACGAATTAAGGCCCCATCTTTATCACCTCATTTAACCTGTATTACTTCCTTAGAGGCCCCATCTCCAGATATAGTCACATGGGGGTTAGGACTTCAACATACGAATTTTGAGGGGACACAGTTCAGTCCAAAACAATTGGCATTCTGTAGGATAGATCAGTCTTTCGTGAATTTTATTATTTATTGTGAATGCCACAGAACTTGATCGTTCTGTGCTGAATTGATAAATTGGACTTTATGATTTTCAAAGTGGATTAGATTTAACCCTGTTTTCAGTGTAGCAGCTCTGAAAGGCTGACCTTGCCCCTTTTGCTTTAATAAACCTGCCAGCAGCGTTCACGTGGCTGCCCCCGTTAACCTGTCAGCCTTAGTAGAGATGGGGATTGAAGCCCGTTATTAGCAGGATCTCACTCACTGTCAGAGGCACTGCAGCTCTCAGATGGGTGCTGTCAGAACCTTAGCGGTGGCAGAAGCTAGAAAGGAAAATGTCAAGGAGGTGGGAGTGCAAGAAGAGCTCTATTGTTGGCTGAATGTGTTTCAAGAGCTGGAGAAGCCCCAGGAGGGAGCGTGAGGTGTTTGGGCAGAAGTGGGTGTGTTGGGACAGGTGGACGGCCCTGGTTCCCTTGGGCAGGTGGCCTGCTGCTTGTTTTAGTCCTGGGAGCTGAACCGTTTTTCTGGTTACAGAGCCTTCGTTCACAAGGTGAAGTTCAAGATGCCAAGTGGCTTCCAAAGAGAAAAGGTGGAGCTTTTGTGTATGTGTGTGGATGTGTGGTGAGTCTGGAACAAGGCTTTCTGATTCTGGTGGGTGCGGAGGGGAGGAATACCCAGAGTGCACAGACCGAAGTCACACCTCCCAGCAGAGGGTGGCAGGAGGTCTGGTTGGGAATGGGGGGAAGGGCCAGGTGCTGAGGGACTTTAAACTGTCATCTTGAAGAATTTTCACTGTATTTTGCATACCAGAAGTTTTCAGATTATTTCTGAGGCTCCCTCGGAGGCCTTGTCCCAGACCAGAGAAGCTCCGAGCCCTGTCCTCCTATTCCAGGGCAGCCCTGCTTGTGTCTAATTTATTGGGGCTTCTGTGCACAATTTGCTTAATTATTTGAAGAAAGGTTTTCTCTACCTGCCCCCTCCTTTTTTTCCTTTAAGTTATTGGAGTGTATTGAAAGTCACTGAGGAGTTTCAGGCAGAGGAGTGCATATATGTGGTGATCACATCCACAGAAGGAGGGTGTGGGAGGGGCAGGAGGGGTCAGGAGAAAGTAAGTACATTTTAGACGTTCCATGTTTAAAGACTTCAGGGGTGAAGCAGGCAACTGGGTAGAAGGTTTGCTGCTCCGGGGAAAGGGATAGGCTGGAGACAGAGATTGAGCCCAGAGATGTTTCTGCTTTTTAATTAAATAGACGTATTTAAAATCTTTATTTTGGCCAAAAGAGAAAAAGAAAAATATAATATAACAAAGACCCATGTACCCACCACCCAGAATAAACACATGTTAACATCATTGCTTCTGGTAAATATGTGAATACAAGCACACATCAGACTGAGTGCCAGCCCTCTCTTTTCTTCTCCAGGCCTTTCCTGCTTCCCCAGTGTTCCCTTCTCTGCTGGATGTTTCCTGTATAGTCCACCCCTCATCCTTTCATTACAGATACAAGATACAAGTGACAATATGTAGTGCTGTTTTGTGAATTTAAACATTTTCAGAACGATATCATACTGTATGTAACTTTCTGCATGTGTTTTAAAACCCTCAGTATTCTGTTTTTAAGATGCATCAGTATTGATATATACAGCTCCAGATCAGAATTATAATATGTGAATCTATAATATTTGGGCATTTTCCGGTTTTCTCTGCTATACGAAATGGTGCCGTAAGTATCTTATCCACATGTGCTCGTTTCCCAAGAGAACAGTGAGAAATGCGATTGTTTTCATCGTTCAGGGTGCACCTTGTGAGCCTTATCAGCTGTTACCAGGTTGCCCTTCCCAGTGCTTGTAGGGACTTAACACCCATCATCTGTGGATGAGTCTCTGGTTCTGCACATCATTGACAATGACTGATTTTGTTTGACTTAGATTTTCACCAGTCTAGTAAGTGTAAAACGATGTCTCATTTTATAAGTTTGCATTCCTCTGATTACTAGGAGGGTTGAGCACCTTTCATTGTGTGTTCATATCTTTGCCCATTTTTCTATTGCATTTTTTGTCTTTTTTGTGGAGTTACAGGAACTCTTTGCATACTCTGAATACTCATTTCTTGTAAATATCTTCTATTCTGTGACATCTTTTTAAAATGATTTTTTAAATCCAGAAGTTAAAAAATTTCATGCAGTCTAGTTTTATAGTCTTACCTTTTTATACTTTGTTTCTATTTAAACAACGCGGTTATATTCCAAAGTCATAAAGACTTTCTGTATTTTCTTCTAAGAAAAGTTTAAGTTTATTTTTTTAAATATGGTGTGAGAGAGATAATTTTACTTGTTTTCCAAATGGAAGGCGAGTTGCCCCAGCACCATTTATTGAAGAGTGCCTCAGCAGTCATACTGAGTTACTGTATATGGTTGGGAATATTTCTGGTGTTTTTATTTTGTTTCATTCATGTATTAAAAAAACAACTCTATTCCAAATTTACACTATCTTAAATACTGTTACTTTAGCGTATGTCTTTATATCTGGTAGATATGGTTCCTCCTGCTTTTTATTTCTCAGAATAGCCTTGGCTATTCTTAGGCCCTTAATCTTTATTATAAATTTTAGAATCAGTTTAAGGTCCATGAAAAATTATAATAAGATTTAGGTTAGAGACACATTAAATTTGTAGATTAATTGGGGAAAAACTTGGTATCTTCATGAATTGAATTTTCCAATCCATGAGTATGGTATATATGTTTTATTATTTATTCATGTTTCTTATGTTCTTTGGTAATATTTTGCAATATTCTTCAAAAAGTTCATACGTACATTTTGGTACATTTATTTTTAGGTACCTTTATGTTTTTGTTGCTGTTGTGAATTTTTTTTTTAAATTTAATTTTCTAATTAGTTATTGCCAGCTTAGTAGGAATGCTACTGAATTTTTAAAGTTGTTTTTGAATCTACGTCTTGTGCCCTGTCTTACTTGTTTTAATAGCTTGCAGATTCTTTTAGGGTTTTCTATGCAAACTATTGTACTATTGTGTTAACTGCAGATAATGGTTATTTCGTCTCTTTTCATGCCAGTACTTTTTTTTTTTTGGCCTGGCTGCACTGGCTAGAACTTGGGGGTAGCAGGTGCTTTTGTCTTTCTGACTTTAAAAAGAATGGTTTTACTGTTTCACTAGTGATTACTGTAGGTTTTTGTGGAAATGCTTTTTCAGGTTAATACTGTGCCCTTGTATTCTAGTTTACTAAAAGGTTTTTAAAAAATTTTTATTATGAATATATGTTGACATTTAAGGCTTTTTGTATATCTGCTGAGATGATTAGCTGGTTTTGATAATTAAGCTCATATCATACATTGATATGTTTTCAGATATTGAACAGTCTTTTATTTCATTCTTGAGGTAAACCCTACTTGGTTATGAAATATTAAGTACGTGCTAAATTATATTTGCAAATATTTATTTGAGATTTTTGTATCAATGTTCAAAAGTGAGATAATTTTCCTTTCTTGTACTAGTTTTGTCTAGTTTGTGTATCAGAATTTTACTGGCTTTGTAAAATGAGTTTGTTAGCTTTCTTTTTCTGTTCTTTGAAACAGTTTATGTAAGTTAGGAATTATTTATTCTGTGATGGTTTAGTAAAACATATGACTTTTTTTGGGAAATATACTGGATATATTTATTTTAAAAATTATTATTGTCAACTGCTGTAACAGGTGTTCTTAAGATCCAGAATTTATATCTAAATCTTTAGATATAATCTTTCTTAGATATACAGTCCCTGATAATCTTCCTTAGATTGCCCTCAGATGACTTTTTAGCACTTGCAGAATATCCTCTCTCTTCTGGTTACACACATTCTGTTTTAAAA